TTACAATGCAGCAGGCTTGTCTTTGATAAAACTGATATGCAACATACATTTAACATTTTATTTCCTTTTGGCTCAAGAGCTCCTTGACTGATAATGTTGTAAAACCACCTTTTTACTTAAAATCAAAAAACCCCTAAAACTCATAGTCAAAAAATGTAAGAGCACACTCGGAGCAATCTGAAGTACATAGCAGGGCAACTAGAGATTAGGGTGTTTTTTTTTATGCGTTAAAGCTTGTACAGTCTTGCTGGCATCTATAGAGACTTTCTAAAGCATTTTGTACTACTTTGAGACTGCATATAGCTTACAGAACCTAACACTATTAAAATACAGAGGCCAAATATTTCAGTGCTGTAAGAAATAAGCCTGAAATGACTCAGTTGTGGAAATTTCTTGCTGCTGTTTTGCTGTTCACTTATGACACACTGCAATGGTTTGAACTCTGTCTAGTGATATGGTCAGCAAAGTTCATTTGAGATAAATGTGTGTGCTAGTATGTTACTCTGCTTTTAAAACTTGCTTTCTAAAGAATGACCCAAAAGTAATTCTCTCAACAGGAGAACTATCACATAAATAAACTTGTATTCCAAAGAATTAACTGATGAATCTTCCTCATTCATCAGTGTTGTAGTGTCTTATGACTGTTCTTTGTAATTCTACTGCACACAGCTGAAAAAATCTCAGCCCAGAGACTCGGAGTTTTTGTTTTAAGAAAAAAGCAGCCATATTGATAGAGCTGGAAATTCTGGTATGGAACGTTGCCACTCACTGCTGCTGTGCTTTGGGCTCACAATAAACTTATCAGGCCAGGGCTTTAAAGCGTGCTTTGGCTCCCAGTCAGCTTCTGTTGTTGCCAGTTTTAAGGTTTTTTGGTTGCAATTGCTGTAACAAATTGATAGATCATTATATATTAGACTGAATTTAATTTATGAACTCCAGAAACAGCTGTGCTCTTTTGAGACAATGTGGATCAGGCAGTTCAGTCACATATGACAGCCTGGAGACAAGAACTGGATATGGACAAATCTGGAGTCTTCCTACCATTATGCAGTTATGTGCAATTCATATGCAGTTATGCTGCGGATTTGATATCTCTGAACCCTTCTGGCATACTGAAAGTAATATAAAATTAAATAATTTCTTCTACCTGCTTCTTTCTGCTCATCCTAAAAACTCTAACAGGTAAACAGACTTTCCTCCAAGAACCATTTTATTATACCTCAAAAGGAGGAATCAGAACTCCATCAAGTCCTCTAAGAATTTCTTTGTCAACGGATCTTATGTTGGTATGTGCTTATGGAATTCTTGGAGGCTGTGAGGGGGGAGAATGCCAGCAGGAAGCAAAATGCAGCTATTAACTCTGAAACTCATCCATACAAAGCAGAGAGTTGGTTTTCTTTAGGACATTTTTTTAAGTCACTAAACTTTCACTAATCTGGAATCATTGACTTTTATCAGATTTGCTGTTGATTGTACAGGATTCCCATTTGAGTCTTGCCAAACTCAGTCCCAAATAAACAGCTAAATGTGCAGAGGTAGGTCCCACAATCTTTAGTACGCTGGAGTACAGCTTGGCTCTTGCTACGGCGACTGGCTAACAACTTCCTTTCAAATGTCATTGCTGGAGTCCTTAAAAATCAGCATTTTGTTTATTTGCCAAACTTCTGTTGAGTTAATTTTTAGATGAGGAAATGATCTTCTACATTCAAAGTATATCAAAGACAAGGTTATATTAAAAAATAATAATGAATGAAATGTGTAATAATGGATTATTAACTACTAAACAAAGGAAACAGCTTTGCAAACAAATTTTGAAAGGCTGTTACTGCACACTATGTGTAAGCATGATCAAGGCATTTCCTGTCGTCTTAAGGTCATGGTACCTAATGCACTAGATTTTTAAACGGTGATTTCCATTTGCCTGATTTTACTTAATTAGTCTCGCTCTATTTCTTAATTAAATATTCTGATTAGACTCTTTGGCACTGCATTGCAACAATCACTTGTGGGGGAGAGGGAAGCGACAACAAATTGTAAAGCTCTATGTAGTGGTGATTCCCACCACACAGAGCCCATACTTGTGTCAACTCCCTCCCTCCACTCATATTAAGGCTCATTTTAATATTTGTAGCTGAGGTGAATTACAAGGGGAAGTAAGTGGTTTTGTCCATGTTAGTGTTCTATTAACGTTTCCCTGAAATAAATTTCCAGTTTTTTTCATTTTAAATGCATTCACTTTCCTTCTTATGTCCATGTCTCTTCAACAATAAGTCAGATAGTGTTGAACAGCTTGCTTTTCAACCACTAGAGATCTAGCCAATTTGCTGCTTTTTTTTTTTTTTTTTGCTTTTTCTTTCTCTTATTTTATTTTGACATGGAAGTATCTCAAGGAAAGGAACACTAAATGGAACAGCATAACAACACTCCATAGTTAATAGTATAATTAACTGTCTATTCTATCCATTTCAAAATTAGTGAGTCAGACCTTAAGCTGAAGCAGAATTTCTTTTGAAAAATGTGAGATGACTCAAATTTGTTCTGAAAGAGTTATAACGACTTTAATTTTAATTTTATAAATAAAGAATTGTCTGAAAGCGACAAATGAAGATGTAACCTATTTCCTTAATTCCTCTATTAAGGGTATCTCTAATGATTGTTGCAGATCTCTTTTTGCGTTCTGAGGCGTATGTGGAAAGGAAAAAAAGGTTCATCCTGTTTTGGGGGGGTTCCCCCCTCCTTTTTTGCATATTTAATGCAGATCTCTCGAGGTTTACAGTCATATTCTAATTCCCTCAGTTCTTAAATCTAGGGATAAATAGCATTGGAGAAACCAAAATGGCTTAAGAAAGAGATGTGGGGAAGGCCATCTCTGTCTTTCACATGGACATCAGGGAAGGGGAGCCCATGCAGTCCCTCTCGGCTCTTTATCTTCCAAACTGCAAGTGTTAGGGCGTCCTCCACAGATGGTGCAGCGGTTAGCTGGCAACTCGAGCAAGTTGAGTTAATAAGAAATCCTAGATTCAGAGCCTGTTCCAGTCTGGTTGGTTTGGGCCTCCTGGATCAGCTGTAGTTTGCAGTATTGATCGCTGATGGCTGTTGTATTTACAAGTTAACAATCCTAATTATGATTGCATTTATAGCCATAGCGTTAGAAAAAAATGCTAATGTTAACTGAAGTGAAACAGGAAATTCACCAATACTGAAATAAAAGCCACAACCTTGAGCTTTGTCCTAATAGAGTTGCAATCATAACACATTTTTAGTTTAACAAACTGTATTTTTAAGTTTGTTTAGATAATGTGTCATTGGGCTTCTTCACAGAGAATGCTGTCTTATGCATTGTTGACTTATTTTACAGATAACCTTGAGAGCTATACAAATTGACAGGAAGTTCTCGAAAGACTATCCTCTATCTTTTGCATATAATCCACATGTTTGGGTAAAATCTGCCTTATGATTGAGGAAAACGAGATGTCTTTAAGTTCCTTTGTTGCATTATTTTTTTTCTTTAGGGGTATCACTTATATTAAGTCATTTTCTCTCTCACGTTCTCTCTCTCTCTCTCTCTCTCGACTTCTCAAAGAGCAATAAACAATAACTTTCATGAAACTGCTTTAATATAGTTCTCTCACAAAACACACCTAGCAGTCTCCTTTATATAAGGAAGCTGCATATGTAAGAGATTGGTTGGGGAACTTTCGAAAATCTCATTTGCACTACAACCATTAAAGCTTGCTAAGGATTGTTTTAAGTGATGGATTGCTAATATTAGTTTCTGCAACTACTACGTTTAGCTCGTGATGTCTCTCCACTTTTGTACAGAGTTCACGTTGTGATGGTTTCGATATGAATGTGGCTCGCTGTGGAAGTGCAACCTTAAATTTAAAAGCAGGCTTCAGAGAGCTTAAGATCTCTAAGGGCATTCTTGCATTCATGGAAGTGAAAAAGTAGCATGGTAAAGGCCTGCAACCTTAACTTTTTTTGTTCATTCTTTTTGAGTGCATCTGCAAAACATTTGTGTTATGGTACCTACTGGACATAATACTGTCCAGTCATCTCTTGAGTTAAGACTTATTTCCCATTCGTTCTGTCTGCGATGCTATGACTGACTCATTTTCTTTGAAATAAATGTTTATCTGAACGAAATTGTTGGGAGTTTTTTTAAAGGGATAGCATGCTAATGCATGTCTTAAAACGGAGTGCTCTCCCTCACAACATGAGGGTCAGCATGAGGGGAGTAGCAGCCAACTGTTGTAAGTAAAAGGGATCTCATTTTGCACTGTGGATCATTAGTCTCAGAAATTTTTAAGAACTCCAGTTACATTGCTTTTATCCATGTTAAATGTAATGTAATACATCTTAAACTTAATTGATACTGTTACTTTACTTGCAACTAGACTTTTTGACAGCTAAATCTCTTTTGATGTTCCCAACTTGACAATGTTTTACTGGATTATAGGATAGGTATTTGAAAATGCTTATGATTTGTTTCTCTTTAGCTAGACATGGTTAGACTGTAGTTTCAGCAATGTTTTAGTTTTCTTTTGAATCCTCTTTGCTGTATACCCAGGAAACGTTACTAAGTTTTACTATTATTATTAAGGTAGAGATGTATAAAGAAGGAATTCTGATTTTTAGATGCTTCTTGCTGTTCAGGAGAACCACCAAAAATTCAGTAACTTTCTCATTTTTTAAAATATGAATTTAGTATGCTGTTTTCTACCAAAACTAATTTTATTCATTGAAGACATTTTATATTTTGATCATATTTTGACCTAACTTGTGTATGGCTTGGTTACACAGAGTGTAACTTTTTATTACATAGTCCTACTTTAAAATTTGACTGATGTCGTATATTTAAAAATCAGGGGGGCTTAAAAATATAATTGGTTTGCAACTGATAGGCATCCTTCATTTAAAATAGAAGAAGTTTTGAATTGTGTTAAAAGCTGTAAATTTCTCTTTACTCTCTCTCCTTCATGCCTGGCTTGATGAGGCAGTCAGCATCAGGTAAGAAAGTTTATTTTGAGGTCCAAGCATCTGACTGTTAATAACTCTGTCAGCCTTTTTTCAGCTCCTCTGAATTTGTGAAGGTACACTTGTTACCCTTTAAGATTATGTGTAATTAGGGTCTTTTCATATGTTGGCCAGTAGGACATATACAGTTTGTCTTTTAAAATATTTAATCCTTTAGGTACAAGAAGACATACAAAAGCAAACGTCATGATTATTAAGATTCTGTTCTTGATCCAGCCAGCTTTTGAAGGAATGATGATGAAATATGTTTTGGTTGGACAACATTACTAACTTTTTGAAATGTCCTAAAGAGGAAGTGATTAGTGACACACTACCATGTGTAGTGAAAACTGGGTTAAGGCTAGTCATCTAGATCAGAAGAACCTTGATTTGAGATTTAAAAGCAAAACATGTGGGTTTACCAGACCTGTCTTTTTTTACAGACCTGATCAGATCTGAGATTCTTGCAAAACTGAAGCATTAAGAAAGAACAGAGCTTCAGCTGAATGCCACTCATCAGGGGTTAGAAGAGGTCTAGTTCTTTTCATACGAAGGACAGCTAGCCCCTACGCCGAAACGCTTTAACCAGTTGGCTCTTTCACAAAAGAGAACAGAAGTGTGTATGTGGGGTGTAAGTCCACGTTCTGCTGAGACTGCTGCAAGGAAAAGGTCATTCCTTTTTCCTTTAAGTGGAATAATTTTACTGTTAAGGATAGAGAGGGGAAAAAAAAAACAAACAGGTTTTATTCTGGACCCTTGCCCAGGCTTCCTTTGACTTTGATGTGATGCTTGGCTACTTTAACAAAAAGATCTTGGCAAAATGCTTTACTTCCTACTTTAAGCTTTTTCACGTTCAAGTAACATGCTGGTGGCAAAGATCTCCAGAATTCTCTTAACATTGAAAGAGCAAAATGGAATAGCAGATGAGCTTCAATGCAAATAAATTTAAGGTAATTTATCTATGGAAAAATCTAAGCCATAGCTACAGAATGGCAAACATAGAATTGGCGGTTACGCTTCAGGAAAGATGTTTTGGAGTCGTCACTGAGAGTTCTCTGACATCATTGGCTTAATATGCAGCAGCCAAAACAACTGAGACAATGTTGGGCATCAACAGGAAGTGTATTAAGAACAGCATATTGGGTGTCATATTGACACTAAAAAATCTTAGTGCAGTGCTGGTCTCCATGCCTCAAGCTGGATGTAGAGAAGTTGAAGAAGGTACATAAAAGGACAGCTGAATGATCAATAGGCTTGAGCTGCTGCTTTGAGGAGAGACTAAAAAGGCTGGGACTCATCAGTTTGGAGAGGAGGCTGAGGGAGGGGTTATGATCAAGGCTTAAGAATCATGACTGCAGAACTGTTTTTTGACTAGTCCTCTGCATTACTAGAGCTGGGGGGTACTTACTGAAGTAGGAGATGAGTTTAGAACAGATAAAGGAATTTCTGGAACTTACTGCCACAGGAAGCTGTGGAGGTAGACATATCGGCAAGTCTTAAAAACTCAGTCATGGACAAATCACCCATAAATGGATGCTGAAACCATCAGGTAAAGCTGTACTCTCAGATATGTTTGCTACAACAGTTTCAGATAAGTGAATGAGGGCTTGGGAATAAGAAGGGAATGGACTGCAAAAATTGGCCATGTTCACAAAATCACAGAACACTTGAGGTTAGAAGGGACCTCTGGACATCAGCTAATTCATATGCTGTCCCTTTCAAAAAAAAAAAAAAAAAAGCAAAATAGTTGTATTGTTGCTGTTGGAATACTGGGTTGGAGGACCATGGTAATATACAGTAACAGAAATATACATCCTTTTGGCCATGCTTTTTATATATCATGGAATCAGAATTATTCCAGCTGGAAGGGACCCTGGGAGGTCTCTAGTCCAGCTGCCTGCTCAAAACAGGTTCAACACTGAGTTCAGACCAGGTTGCTCAGGGCTTCATCTGATCAGGTGGTGAAAACCACTGAAGATGGAGAGTCTACAGTCTCTCTAGGCAACGCGTTCTAATGCTCAGCTATACCTTTTGCAATTTTTTTCCTTTAAATTCAGTCAGAAACTCCTGTTTTGAGTTATGATCAGCGTCTCTTCTCCCAGCACACATTTCAGTAAAGAGCCTGGCTTTCTCTTCTTAGTATCCTCCTCTTATGTGCTGGAAGAAGTGTCCTCCTCCTCCAACTTCTCCAGGCTAAACAAGACCGTTTTCCCTGGTCTGTCATCCTTGGGCATGAACTCCAGCCCCTTGACTGCCTTAGTGCCCTTCCACTGAATCTACTCATCAGCTTCTTGTATTGAGGGAGGAGTGGGGTGACAGGTCTAAAATAGAACAGATTCAGTCTAATGAGTGCCAAGTAAAGAAGAACAATTGCTTCCTGTGATGTACTGGGTATGCCTTTGTCAGTGCAGCCCAGTATGCTGGTAGCCTTCACTACCAGGGGACGCTGCTGATTCATGTTTAGCCTACTGTCTGTCAGGACCCCCAGGTCCTCTTCAGCAGACTTGCTACTGAGTCGGTCAATCTCCATACCAAAAATTCTATGTTAGTGTTTATCAGTGCTGGCTGGGCTGGCCATTTTTCAAGGAGATGAAGAAGGGCTTGCATTGCAGTTATGTGGCTGCATGACCGTGCAGAATTGTTGCATATATTCTGTACAGTGCATTCATGTTTGTTGCTAGAGGTCTGGTTCCCTTTGGATGTGAGAAGTACCTGAGAGAGCAGGCAAGCATTAGGCTGCAGGCCAAAAGTGTTCCTGGAAGGTCACAGGTTGTGCGTTCTTTTATTAAAGTAGCAAAAGACAACATCAGACTGTTTGTCCAGACTCAGTTTAGAATTTGGCAAAGGCTGTGTTTATTTATGAATTTTTTCGCTAACAGCCTTTTCCACACAGTCATAGTTGGTGTTTGGAAAGACTGCTCTTTAAAAGTATGAAGCCACGGTTCTGTCACGTTACCTAAGTATGTTCATCTGAAGGTATCATATATTGAAGTAGTTTTCAGGATAACAGTGAGATTTGTGGCTTGGCTTTCTTAATGTTTAAAGCCACCAACATTGAATGTAAGCTTTGTAGTCAAGGTAAACCAGTGGTTAGCAGTGCAGACCTGAAAAGCACATTGTTTCTTACTCTAATATAAAACTGGTAGTCACTTGTTTGGAGGGGCTTTCTTTTTCCTGTAGTGGGTGTGGAGAGGAATTGTTCATTTGTGGTTTTTTGGTTGTTTTTTTTCTTAGTGATTAGAATTGACAGTTGTTTTGGAAACTCCATGTGGTAGCTATCTGACATGTATTACAGGATATTTTAGGGATATTATTTCCAAGTACTAAATAAAGAATCTCTGTATCAGGCTTTCTGTATCTAGGTATATAAACTTGTAAGAATTACTTATTCTAGATACATGGTATTGGAGCAGATTTCACTTTCATTCTCAATTATGTCGTGTAAGTGTAGAACTGCTTTTTTTTGCTTGCCTTTACATCAGCAAATTCCTCGTGAAACAACTGCAGCCCATGTGTATGAGAAGAAAATGTAAAAGACCAACTTCATTGCATGTACTTAAAATGAAGGTCTAGATCTACAGCATGTACCAAGATCCCTAACATGGACAATGATGCACATTAAAAGTGATGTAATACCTGGAGTTGTTAACATGCTGTTAACATCTGATTTGAAGGCTTCCAACATGATTGTGAATCTTGCTGTCTTTTTCTCATCTTTTGCACAAGCCTATGGAAAGGACAGAGATTCCTTCTTCCCTAGGTGAACAGGTAAAGCTTTCAATTGGTATCGTTAGCAAGGACCTATATGCAGTATTTATTTATCAAGGTGAATATCTTTCAGATCTCAGAAACTTCAAATAGATTTGTGATGTAAGTAAAGCAGCTCTTGAGGTTTTTCCTTCCTACTCTTTTCCACGTCTTTGTTACTGTGAAGAGCTGCTTACAAAGTAGCGTTTGGTGTATCTTCCTTTTGAAGCTCCCAGAGTAGCTTGAAGAAGTTTCTGTAAAGCATTTTTAATGCCTTTCTACATTCTTAGGATTTTTATCATTATGCTCTCTCAAACTCGCCCCAAGATAGTTACTACTATAAGATAGCAAAGGTGAAATTCTAAGAAATAGCCTCAAGTATGTCTTGCAAGCGTTATAATTATTTTCACTAAATTAATAGGAGACTTCCCAGGCTTAAAGCTTTAGGTTTTACTTTTGAATAACTTGGAACACAGGGTTATAATAGTTTATCACTCCAGCACAATGCATGTGAAGGTAAATGTGTTCACCCATGGTCTGATCATTAGTGTTGTTTGGTGTTCACTTAGAATTAAAAGTAGTCTATTTATACCATATGAAGAGAAGCTTCTCATACCTCATGATCTGAAATCTCATTGGTGCTGAATCAGATAATGGAAAGACGCTTGATCTTGCTGAGTAGACAGAACTAAGTGTTTCTCTTCAATGCTATTTTTCTCTGGCTGTATGAAACAGTAGCAATATTCACTTGAGGGGCTCTTTGGAGGGAGAGGAAAGCTTTTTATCAGGTGAGAAGGGGAGGTGATAAGCAGGGGAAGGAATAGAGTTGTAAAAGTAAGACATGAAGGCCAAAAGTACTGACAAAACAAAGGCTACTGTAGAAAAAGCAACTGTCTTAAGCCATCCTCTTGGGGATGTTCAAGATGCAGTAAATAGCCTAGAGGAATTTGTCCTTAGTGTTTCTAGGTACCTTTTGTGTTTTGTTTTGCTTTTTTGCTTTTTTTTTTTTTTTTTTTAAAGCTGTCAGACTTAAACACTTTGGAAGTGGAAGGAGAATTTTGGAAGGTGTCGGGGACTGTTTAAGACCTTTCAAGGCCTTCTACTTGGGTAGCCAGAAATTAGAAGTCACTTTAGCAGTTCTCATTCCAGCTGAGTTTTCAAGTGATCATCAAATGTGCTCCTTCTGAAACTATCATTTCATTTAATTCGTTGAAAGGTCAGAGAGACCTGTTCTTTGGAAAGGTTTTTATTTCTACTGTTAGAATCTTGAGCTGTGATTAACTGTTAACTCCTTTTTCTTAAACAGATCAAATGCCTAAAAGGCCAGAGAGACTTCTCAGACCAACCCACTTTTGATGGGATTCACATTGTCAACCATTTCACAGGAGATGATGAATCATTTCATTCTTCTGATGAAGATTTTATAACTAACTCCATACAGGAGAGTGGGATGAGCTTTCACCTACATAGGAGGACTGGTCAGATGGCTTTGGATCCAACAGTTGTAGACAGCAGCGACAGTGATACTGAGGAAAGCGCCCTCCAGACTGGGAATTCAGGCAAAGTTATTTCCAAGCAGAGAAGAACGGAGTCTTACTCTACTACTGTGTGATCATCACTGTGACTAGAATTGAAGACTTTCGTATTTGTTTAAGGGTTAAACTGTCAGAAAACTTGAAAGTATCCAGCAGTTGGTTTAGGTAACTATTGGATCTTGTCTGGCCTGTAATACAGACACACGTACTGTCCATCTGCCTTCTCTCTTTGCCAAATCTCGCTGATGACATACCATTGCCATAGAACAAGCTAGGAAGAAGTTGATGGATGACAAGTTCTAACAGTATTACTGAATGTTCCTTGTTTCAGAAAATGCAAATATAAATTTCCTTAATGCATATGAAACATTTTTGCTGTTCACAAACACGGGAATTATTTTCTTCAAAAGAAATTGCTCTTGTGCAATATTTTATGCTCTGAACCACTGTATATTTTACATTGTTATCCATTTGCGATCAAGATGGATGCTAGCAAACCATCTGATCATGACATATATATATATATATA